GTTTATATACACACATATCTCAAAACATGTATATAGTACATTTTAAAAATAAACTTAGTTGTGTTAGGACATGTGGACTGATTCTACTCCCCCTCCCCCACTTTTTACACATACACACACACACACACACACACAGAAAACCTCTGCTAGGTGTCCTCCATAGGATTTGTGGTATCAGAAGTTTTTTCAGAGTGAATGCTATAATATAACCATAGAAATCCACTATGAAAATATCCCAATAGTGCATTAATGCATGTACTTGCCTCTTTAAAAAATATTGTTTTTTAAAGTATTAAGCATATATACTTATATACTTGCTTGGCAAATATAATATCATTTCTAAGGGGTTTATTAAGATTTATTTATTAGACCACTAATAAGTCTAAATAGAGTCTGGAACAGTAGACCATAAAAATAAACAAAATAAAACAGAATAAAATGACCATAAATTAAATTTTCTTTTAAAAAACAAAATACCAATTAAAATATGACTGGGCATTCAACAACAGTTCCTGAAATAAAGATGTTTTCAGGAGGCACTGAAGAGATCACATACTGGTGCCTGCCTGACCTCCAAAGGCAGGGAGTTCAGTCATCACACTGAAGACTTTTCTCTGGAGGCACTACAGTTGGGCCATAGGTTCTTGTGGAACCACCAGTTGCATGACAGCTGATGAACTGAAACTACCTGTCTACAACTACCCAGCAAAAGTGGGGAAATCATGACCTTCAAAATGTTAGACTCAAATTTCAATCATTTCGTATCACTGGCCATTATGGCTGGTGCGGATGAGTGTTGGAGATCAACAATATCTGGAAGGCCATAGGTTTCCTAGCACTGTTGTATAGGTTGATGGTACCACTCAAAAACTTTTTTTCCTCAAACCTGCAAATTTTAAATTAATTGGATGTATATAACAGGATATCTAAAGGACTGGATATCCTGTCCATCTTTCTAACTGTATTATATATATCATCTGACTTTATACGTAATACAAAATGTAGCATATCACATAATGATTCCTTTAAAAGCAGAGAGATTTCAGCTTGAATATATCCTTCTTCAACCCTTGACTTGAATGAAATACTTCTAAGTGAGAAAGGTCCACACTATCTCTATATAAACGGCTCCAATAAATATTATATCTTTTCACAGATAGTGACCTTAATATCTTAGTCTTAAAATGCATTACTTGGAAGTATATTCCACTGAACTCAATGCAGCTTAATCTATGGTCCTTGTTTAGGATAGAGCTATAAATTCTGTCACATCACATACATCATGTCCTCTTTCATAAAAGTTTGGCTGCATTTATTTATTTAGTAATATCCATGAAATGTACCATTCATTTTAAATAGGGAAAAGTACAGCATTAATTACCCTTGTGGAGAACATTTCAGCAGGGTAAAGCTGGCCCAATACATTTTACTGGAGAGCCAGAGGAGAAAATTACCCCCCCCCCCCCCCCCCCCCCCCCCAAAGCCAACCAGATTAGCAGTTATATCTAGCAAAAGGATATCAACCTCTGTTGTACCCAAAGGCACCTGACAGGCTTAGAGGCACAAGGCAGGCTGTTGCACAAACAGCTCTGTTCACTCCTCACCATCTGTTTCCTGAGTTGGCTGTCTCTCTGCCCAACAAAAGGGCCAGCCCTGCAGTAGAAGCAAAACTAATTAGCTCACACACCCAGTTCTTCTTGCCTACCTTGTTGATTCGAGTAGTGTCTGGAGAAAAGGATGCAGGGGAAAGAATGAAAAAGAGTCCTTCCTGAGCAACAACATATTGCTTAGACATTACAGTCCACAGAATAAGCCACTAGCATGTTCACGAATTTTATCGTCATCAGATAAGGCAAGAGGAATGGTCTATCATTGTGCAGGACAAGAAAGCGATGCATGTCAAGTCATGAAAGGAATGTAATCAGACAATCTTATGAAGCCATGGGAATCCAGTTCAGGCTATGGTAATTTTGTGTTACTCTAGGCACAAACAAGCACACATTTAATTAAGTTCTAGGTTTGCTCTGTCAAACCAGTATTACAGCTTTCAGAAATATGGTCCTGTAGTGCTCAACACAGATCCCTTGCCAAGCCTTTATTTAGCATACTCTGATAACTTTATTCAACATGTTTTCTCAAATGCAGCATATTAATTATACTGTAGAATAAAGTATTGTCCTTAGCTTGGGCTGCTCTAGGCAGTTTCTTGGCCTTTAGAAGCTAGTATGATCAACTGAAATTGGGGGCTGTCTTCCAACACTGCGGGCATGCCAAGGAAGTGCTGTTCTACAGGTTTAAGCATCTCTGAGAACAGCAGGGATATGCTGATGTAATTTATTTTAATTAGAATGTTAGAAAACTGAACTTCTGGCCTTACCCATATGCAGCTGTAGTCATTAACATGCAGCATCAGTTAACCTGTGGATAATTTTGGGTGGCTATTCCGAATACATTATATGCATCTTTCTCTAGGATATCTGTATAAAGGAAATAGTTCCATTTCTTTCCAAAAAGGCAGTAATACAGGATGCAATTAAAACATACGTATTTTGTAAACACAATGTATGTTCCCTTTTTATTCAACTATTTTGCAACTAGTTACACACTATTAAGTTCTACTGAAGTCATTTGAGATTAGCATACTAATTTGATTTGTAAAACGTTACAGTTCTCTCCTAATACGATGGTTTATACAGTTTGTATTTGTGTACAAAGTAGCTGGAGTATGGCTAAATGTGATTTAGAAACAAATGGCTATTCTGTCTTAGCTAGCCTAATTCTGCTTTCTGAAGCAAAAGTAACAAAATATAAGCATGCTTCTTATCTCCACACTGACTTGGAGAAATGCTTATAAATATTTCATTCATTTCCTTCATTTTGGCTCTGCTGTCCAAACCATTTAAATACTGATAATACTTCTCAATTAGTCCATCAGATTAATGGCCTGATGGAACAACCTGTATTCTTTGACATGCTTAATGCATTTCTAATTGCTTAAACCGTGTTAAAGGGCTAAGTCATAGGTCTGTATCCAACATAATGCTAGCAGAAAATGGGATTTCCACAAGCAGTAGAAGATTTTACTAACATATAGATGAACTACTTTGGAAATCTAGGAGATATTTTAGCTGCTTACATGTTGGCTGCTGCTTTGGTCTTCACAGTGTATGTTGGTGAAATTTGGTAGCAAACCAAATCTTGGTGCTGCTATAGATTTTGGTAGCACTGTTGTTAGGACTACATTGTGTCCATTCCTGTGCTAGTGTAGAATAGCATTTTTTGATACAATCCAGGATAACTGAGGAACAGGTATTGAGGAAAATCAGACCCATTAATAAGAGATGTAACAGCATACGCCGCTTAGGGACGACTCCCATACATTTTGCTGTCATATTACTTCTTTAAGTGTTTCCTAAAGTAGCTCATATATGAATCCACATTATGTCAGTTCAGTTAACTTTTCTGGGGATGATACCATGAGATGAACAGTACATTTCTCTCATATGTTGCCTACAAATCTGTAAGAGTTGTGTGAGTAATTGGTTCTAGTTAAACTTTTCTGAGCACAGGCACAAATGTCATAACATCACTTCTGGAGTGCCAGATATGTGGAAGGATTGTTTTGGGTTTAAGAAAGTCTCTATCTGTATCAAGGATGGGTGGCTTGTAGTCCAAAGACATCTGAAGGGCCACAAGTCTCATCATGCCTCACCAATGGCTATGCTGCTTAGTGCTGGAGGGAACTAATCTAACAACAGCTGGAAGGCCACAAATTGCCAAGCCCTGCCCTGCGTAACAAAATAACCAAACACAACCCAGACATTACAAAGACAATATTCAGGACCTACTGCCTGACCGTTTTACTCTCCTAGAGTTAACATACTTTAACAGAAATAACGTAAAGACTGTTCACAGTATGAAGCTGTAGTTTCAGAATTAACTAGCAAACTTGGGATTTTTTCTCTTTTGAAAAGGAATTAGACATTAGAGAACGCTTCTTTATGTTATCTTCTAGAATTACTGCTCTCTTTCACTGTCCTTAACTCGAACTAAGGTTACAGATCACTTTATTGATCTCATGAAAAAGTCTATAGCAGGGGTGGCCAAACTGAGGCTCTGGAGCTGCATGCAGCTCTTTAGTTTATTTTGCAGTTCGCCACTCACTGTTATGGGCACCCACTTGCCTCTCCCTGCTCCTCCCACTGCTGCCACTCGCTGTCCAGTGCTTTACCCCTGGGCACCTGCTTAGAGCTCACAAACATCTGACATTTACCATATGTGGCTCTTCCATTGAGCAAGTCTGGCCACCCCTGGTCTATAGCCTACAAAATATCATGCCAATAAGTGTACTAGTCTTTAATATACCACCAAACTATCATTTTCTGCTACTTGGTAACTTGGAAATTATCACCACTTGAATGGAACCTTCATTTTCATTCAATGGAAAGTAACCTTCTCCAACATGGTGCTCTCCAGATGTTTGACTGCATCCTCCCATTATTACTAGACAGCATGGCCATGGTGCTAGAGAATGATGAAAGTTGTATTCCAACACACCTGGAGGGTACTAGACTGGTGAAACCCATAATAAATTATGGCGTAACATTTTAACAAATTACTATAAGCATCCAATACTTTGTGGCAGGCAAAGGGCCATCTCAAGAGTTACTGCATTAATTCCTATGAAGAACCAAATCTATGCATTTTCCTAATTTGTTTTGAACACCTCCCTCCAGTGAAAGAAACTGAAAAGTTTTTGCGTCCATAGCATCACAGGTATTTCAATTTCTATCTCTATCCGTCTATACACATACATACCAGGGTCCAGAATGGGTCAAAGTTCTGCTTTGCATTAATAAGCTAATCATAAGCAGCATAAAAGATGTAGCTTTATATAAAAAGCTAAACTTACACATACAATACAAAGTATGTGTAAGATATTATGCATATCAAAACACTACATTTCTAGCTAATGTCAGATATCTTCACAAGTCATGACAGGATTTTAAGAACACTGTAAATTTATTTTCTTATTATCAACTTCCAAAATATTTCATTCTGGATCTTTTTATATTCAATTTGGGAAATAGAGGACATAGCAGACATCAAAATCAGCTACTTTGTCAATGAAATTTCATTTTCAATAGCCTATTACATTTAACAAAAATGAAATCACAAGCTAGTAATTATTCCACAGTTCCATAATCTTACCCTAATATTATGAGTACAATAAATTCCTTATTATAAAATTATGATCAAAGAGAAAGCTCAAACATCACAAGGAGGTCGTGGGCTCCTCCACACGGGAGACATTCAAAAAGAACCTAGACAGCCATCAGAGTGGGATGGTGTAATGTGGTATCCTGCAACAGCAGGAGGTTGGATTTGATGGCCTTCATGGCCCCTTCCAACTCTTCTAGTCTATGATTCTATGATGTATTTTTAAAAATCAAATTCCAAAATCCAAAGTTAAAAGATGTTAAAATCTTCATTCTTTTTAAAACTCTTCTTCCACAATAGATGAAACATTAGAAATATGAATGCTAACTTTGAAGCCCAAGTCTATGCATGTTTACCCAGAAGTAAATGCTGCTTTGTCAATGTAGTTTACTGTCAAGTACATATTCACAGGATCACAGCATTATTTTTCTTGCTTTTTGAATGTAAAACGTTGCCTCTTTTTCCTTTTGAAATGTGTATGTATGTATGTGTATTCGATGCACATTTTCAAGAGAACATTTACAAGATTCCAGGATCTTTTTATGTTTCACATTGACAAAATCTGTTTCTTCTCAGTAGTAATATGAAAAGTACACTGTTTGAGGCAAGACCTTCTGACAAGCAGTTCATAGTCTCTTTTTCATTTATTTTGTGCCAGAAGGCCTTGGTTGATACAGATATCTTTTTTGAATATCTGCTGAGAGAAATTCAAAGCTCACTGAATTTTATAATGATCTCAAGACAATCCTCGCCCTCTTTTAAACCTTGCCTAAATAGCTGTGTGTGTTGCCATGCGATATCACCATCCCCTCCACTAAGTTCAGCTTCCAAGGTAACATCTGTTACATTGCAAATACCAGGGTAAGTGTGAAGTATTTTATCTACAGGAAGGAAAACAAAACAAAGCAAATCCTGTTAAAACAATGTATATTAACAAAGAAAGAATAATATAAAATATAAAATTAAGCAGGATGTTGTAAAGCACTGCAAACTATTTATTGTTTAGATCCTTGTCAGAATTTGTTTGCAATTCATACTGCAGATGATACCTATGTGGTCCATAAAAAATCCTTGAGACATAGAAGTGTATCAGGAATTTGTGATACCTCTTCTGATGAACAGCCCAAGCCACAAACTTCTTGAATATTTTTACTTAAACTGATTTGGGCTTTCTCTGCTCTGGGCTTTTTCTCTGGGTCACAGGCAAATGTAAGAACATCTGATCTGCATTTCAAACATCTGGGAATCAGTATTTATGAAGTATTACTGTGCTAAATTGTTCCAGATTGAAGATGGCTTAGATTAGCTCTCACAATCTCCATGACAGAGGTAATTTAGAAAATGCAAAACATGCACATTTAAAAGAAGAACATGCTGCATTAGTATGTAACCATGCAAAAAATTTAAGAGAAAAAAATTGTACAATGTCCTTTTAGCCTTAGGGACAGGTATGTTGCTGCACTAGAAAATATAGTAGAGGCTGGAAGGGGAAAGAGATGGTCAAAGAAGGTTCTGAGGAGGGAAGCTGTATTTTATATATGCCATTTAGGGGAAAAAACTCTGTAGAAAAATGGCAGAAAACTCATGTGCTCTTTCAGCAACTGCAGTTCCAGCTTCCATTACCCGTGACGTTCTGCGAACAGTAGGAGGTGGCTCAAACAGGGCCCTTGCTCACCTGTCCCAGAATAATCCAATATTTGCAGCCAAAAGAGAAATGCATGTCAAATGACCAAATACAAGCAATGGCATTAACTAAAACTGCAAAAGAGGAAGGAGATAGCCTGTAATGGAGAGCTGATCCAAGCTCCACTGGCATTTAATTGAGCTAAATCAGCTAAAATAGTAATCACATTGTTTGGATGAGTGGACAATTAGGCTGTTTCAACAGATCTGCCATCCTTACACAAAAAGCCAGTTCAGAGTTGTATACATTCTCTTTTCAACTGATAAACTCTAGACAGCAGCATATTCTGTGCATATTTACTTTAAAGTAAGACTTACTACATCCCATGGAGCATACTCCCTAGACTGTATCTAGGATGTTAGCCTTAAGATGCACATGTAACTAACAGTAAGTTTCAATGAACCAGTACAGCCTACTTCTCAGGAAGCAAGCATAGGGTTGTACGCATCAGGAAAACAAAAAAGGCAAATTCAGGCATTGATTTGTGGGGGGATCCTCGGACTAGCCATTATCATTCAGTCTTAACTTTCTATAATGGAACTAATTGGTAACATTGCATGACTGTTGTGAGGATGAATGAAATAAACATATATTATTACCATTGAATCAATCTTAATTTTAAAAAAATCCTACTTTCCTTGCAGGTGCAAATTTTAAAAAGTAGAAATGTCACACTTGCCTCCATTCACATCAGCTACAGTGTCTCCAGAGTGCAGCATCCACCTTACTTTTCCACTCTGAAATGTCTGACTGCTTGTTTTGATTGAAATGTTTTCTATTTTTAGACCAACAGAGCCACATTCAAACTTCCAGCAAATGTAGCCAGACAATGATCCTTCATTTCGAGCTAAATAAACCTAGTCAGACACAATGACAAAAATGTACATATGAAACAAATCGTTTTGCATGCATTAAATCAGCAATCAATACAAAGCATGGGTGGATTAATGCTGCTGTCATACAGACACTCATTTATAAGCAAGTGCATTTAACTTGGTGGATCTTATATCTGGGTAAGCAAGCACAGGATGAGACACATACCTCACTGAGATTAACAGTGCAATACATGTCTACTTAAGTCCCACTATCTTCAGAGGGTGTTACTCCTAGGAACTACATGCAAATAGTGACACTGTTATGAAGTCGTGGGCCTAAGGGAAGCCTAAAAGTATGTCACAGTAAGTTCAAGTAAACTTACTCCTCAGTAAGTATAGTTAGAATTCCTCCATTCTCTTCTTTGTCCTGACAGCTCTTATCAAGATAGGAACCAAGAGGAAAGTCAAATATCCTGAATTTTTCTTTCCCTAAAATAATTCCCTCCCACTGTCAGCAATGAAAGGAAAACATTTAAAAGTGCCTCTAATTGTTTCCTGGGAATGGAGATGTTGACAAGAGTTGAGAAGGCTTTAGATCCTTGGTGTATCCTCTCTGTCCATTTTCTGTGACAGTGTATTTTAATTATACAAAGTAATGCAAGGAAGCACAAATAAAGTGCAAATGTGAACATAGTGTTCCTTATTCTAAGATCTATGCATGCAGAAATGGAGTACATATATGCTGCTATACATACAGATCTACCTATGCCTATCTACCAAATATAAGATCTGACACAATCAGCTCTGAGAATGGTGATCACCAGTTGGGAATGGATGAGTGAAGAAGTGAGCTGGATTTAGTTATTTCCCTCCCAAAGAGCGGATTGTACCACTGGGTCTCTTGAGGGACTCATTTGCACAAATGGACCTAAAGCAGTATGGGAATCTGTGCACGAAGAATATAAAACTATATGCTATGCTATTTCAAGGAATATCACATGCACAGGACCCAATCAAACCATCCATTTCAGTATTTATGCTTTCTTCTTTCGGCTATAATCTGTGAATCTCTTTTCTTTGGAGTGGTTGTTCCAATTGTTACTTTGTCTCTTTACAAATGGAAATGGACTCGGATAGGAGCGTCATTAATGCAAGGTGACTGACATTCTTCCACTCTTTGCAGATGAGGAAGCAACATTGAGGATAGGAAAATCCTACCTATTTCTTGTGTGCAATAAAGACAGGAGATGTAATATAAAAAGACCCTTCTGTAGAGCTGAAAAATTAATTCTCTGGAAAGGCAGAATTTTTATTACCATCAGCTTTTATATTAGTCCACTTTTGAAACGGAAATGTCAGGTTTACAGTTTAATATCTGAACAGATATTTGTTACCTGTAGCCAGCTTCACTATCCTGTTCCAAACCATAGGCTACCTTCATTCCCAGCTGGCAATCTTATTTGAAACAGGACATTAATATTTACCAACACAAGTGGAACACTCTAAATACCACAAAAAGCAAAATGAATATTTGCAACTTGAGGTGATACTCACCATTTCCCAGTCTGACTCAACCTTTCTCCATATGGAGTCCATCTTCCACACCCCTTTCTCCCAGCCATGAATCTTTTCATTGTTATTTGATAGTCTTGTGTAACAGTCTTCAACTATATTGTATCTGAGGTGGAGAAGTTTAGAGGCTTTCTCTTTTCCAGTTGGAATAAAAATGACTTCTTTATTCTAAATGACCAAACCCAAAATTGTAAATCAGGTTTTTATTAGGTATTTAATTAGTATTCCTAAGGGCATCTGTTCATTCTCTGTCTCCCCCTCTTTCTGTCTCTCTCCCTCTCTCCCTCTTGCTCTGTGTATTTGTGTAAGTGAAGCAATCGTTCAAAATGGAAGGTGTTCATGCAAGTTTCTTCCTCCATCCACACACACAACCCTTGCAGATATGGCTGTCATTCCAGTCTTTGCTGCAGTCACATTTTGAGGCATTTTCCCCATTTTCTAAATACCACAGGCCACTTTCACTGCCACAGCACCTGGCTAGTCTGTATAAGATTCTACCCAATAGGAAGGATCAATATGGCAAGATTTTGAAGCTGAGTGACATCCAAAGTAACAGTTGGTTCTCCTGAGAGCTCAGGCTCCATGTTGAATAGTTTTACTCAAGTATCTCTGAAGAATGAGGATACTTTGAATCTGGTTTTAACTATTATATTATACCTTCTGGATTTATTCACTTGTACTTTCCTCACACTTACCTCAGCTATCTAAGGGCCATTAACGTCCAGCAAAATGATGGTAGAGACAAAATGAGATGGTAGCATGAGAATCACTTTATTGGCCAGTTGATTCTTGATGCAATCTCAGTAGAACAGTTCTTGCTCAGAACAAAAATGTTTACAGAATCAACAAGTTGGAAGAGGCCATTTAGACCACTCAGTCCAACCTTCAGCTGGGTGCAGGAATCCAGTTTAATACACCCCTGACATATGGCTGCTCAATGTCTGCTTGAATATTACCAGTGTCAGAGATTCCCCCCACCTGTAGTTACTTTATTATTACGGTATTATCATTATTACAATGTTGTATTGTGTTTAAGATGTTTTAGTGCAAGGGTTTCTTAAGTTCTTTATACACATAGAAAAGTAAAATATATACATATATTAAGACAAACATTGGATTACACATCTGGTCCAACTTACAAATTCGACTTAAGGCTATTCTCAGGAACAGAAGTTGTTAACCTGGGGACTACCTGTACTGCTGACCATACATGTATTGGTTACATATATGTATATATTCTCTCCCTCTCTCTCTCAGACCTTGGTCTGATCCTGCAGAACTCCTCTTTAATTTTTGAAAAACTCCTCTTCTTAATTTATTACATTCTTATGTTCTTATTCCCCACTCATCAGTGCCTTCTCTCTTTGCACCAAGGAAATTCCAGAGAGATTTCCCTCTCTGCATGGATAGGGCAAGAAGGCATGCTTTGAAGGCCTCCCTCTCTCCCCTTTTATTTCTTCTTTCTCTATGGTGATGATGATTTTCTGCAGTACGCCATGGAAACGAGTTTGCATCTGTTACTACAAACCATTTGTCTTTAACTTGAATTTTTTAATTAATAGGCTCTATGGCAGTTCATTTGTAAGTACGGATGTTCATGATTCAGTCATTTGGAGCCCAGGGACTGCCTTTCTACATGTCTTAATCTAAATGCTGAGAAAGTCACATTCAGGCCTCATTAGAACCAGTGGAATAATACTCCACTGTACAATGATCAAATTCTAGCATTACCTGGAAACTCATTTAATCTGTATATGTTCTCCAAGGACATAACATCCTATAAATTCCAACAAATGCCTTCTGCAAGGTTAGATGATTGGTGTATCAATGTTCTTGTAGCCTGTATTTTTGGACATACGATGAAGTATAAAATATTTCTCATTGCATGTTTTGTTCCATTATTGGATACATTTTATGTGAACTGTTTTTATACCAGTTGCTGACAGACCATGAGCACCAGTCAAAATGCAAATCAACTGAGATTGCTTTAGCCATTGAAAATATGGAGTTTTCTTGAACTGCAGCAATATTTCTTAAATGATTTGGATTTGAATGTAGTGGGGAGTATAAATTGGAACCTTGGGGACAAATTTTGCAATGAATAACAACTGTATATATTTACAAGTTATCTGCTATGTTGTTGATTGGGTGTCTATCATCTTTTGTTTGGGGTCTTTCCTGGTTTTGGATAATACCTAAAACAAACTTTAGAAAGCCTTTACCACTACTACTAGTAGTAATACTTATAACAAACCAATAAGGCAAGTCACTTGTGAGTAATGTAAGTAAGTTTTAAGCATTATTTAAGTTTATCTGGACTGGGGCCACAAATGCAATAACCCACAATTGGGCCATAAACTAAGAATTCTGAAAGAATTACCAATAGATGTATTAAATACCTCTAAAGCAATTTCACCTCTGGCAACTCTCCAAGCCATTGATCCAGATACCCTTCCACCAAGTTCTCCAGGCTTAGGAGTTTTAGGAGAAATGAACTCAACAAGCTCCACAATGATTCTTTCTAAGAGCTCTCTTTTTCTTCCTTCAGTCAAAGATTGCTGTCTCTGTGATTAGAGAAATCAGTGATAAAAATAAAATTACAGCAAAATCTTATACATATCTCCTTAAAAGTAGGTTCCATTAAGTTAAATGGGCCTTTCTTCCAGGAAGTTGAGCATATGATTGCAGGCTTAATTTCATTTTCTATTGCAACAATAAAAAAGATAAATGTCTACCATTTATTTTATGAAGATCTCCTTAAGAATCAGCTTGACTTAATCAGAATTTTTCACAATTATGTGAACATTAATGTGCAGTTTAAATAGGAAAGAAAAAGGTTGGGAACATTTTCACACTAGGTTGGATTCAGACTTAATAAAACATAGAGTATACCCACTGAAATCGATGGAGAAAGTCAGACATGTATAACTTAAAGTCCCATTGATTTTTATGCCAAGTATGATTAACAGTGCATTCCTATGCATATCTATTCAGAAATATTTCTCATTGAGTTCAACAGGATTTGCCTCCAGGTAAGTGTGTTATAGGACTGAACCCTGAGTTTGGTCCCAACCCACTACCTTTGATGAGTAGTAAGATTTCACAATTGACCTGGACATTCACTTTTAGATTTACAGAGCTTGTGAATTGTACTCCAAATTACTGATCTTTGCTCAACTGTAATCTCCTTTTCATTTCTAGACTTTAAAAAATTAAAACAAGCAAAATAGCTAGATTGATTATTTCATTCCACATCACTGACTGTCCTAGTAGTCTCAATCTTTATATGGTGATTAACCCAATGCATAATCACTTGGAACCTGAAAAGGTTAGATTCCCAGTGAGGGATGCCTTTGTTTACATAGCATTATATAGCTCCACATTTTTAGCAAAAAGCCCTGAATCAAGCTAGATCAGCACCTGCTCATACTAAATCACAACAGATTTGTTGAGCCAACAACAAATATATATTTGTACAGAGCATTAGGCTAGATCGAGGATCTGCCTTTCTATGGAAGAACTGCCTGTTTTTGGACCCTGCTCCCATTGCATTTTCAGTGGCCTTGATGGGCTGTTGTGAGGAAGAAGGGGTTCCACCAGCCTACCTGCCTTATGCTGGTCATTCCCACCCGCCTGTGTCCCCTGAAAGCATCATAGTGTGGCAGCAGCAGGCTGTTGCGAAGTGTTATGTTCACATTTCCATAATGCCTCAGAGCAAATTTTCTAAACGTAGTGACCTCCAGTTGTATAGGACTGCAATTCCTGTAATTCTGAGCTGGCTGGTTATTATGGGAAATACTAATTCATCACAGCTGATGCGTACCAGATTGGAGAAAGCTATCCCAGAAAAATACTATGTCAGGGCATTGTGGGAATAACAAACTGGAAGTGGCTCATTTGCCTATTGCAGCAGTGCTCTGCTGCTGGAAAGTTTGCCAGGGGGCTGGGAGCACTAAAGGGCACTTTACCAAGGACAACCTCACACCTGCTGATAGAACAAAAGCAAAACAAAATGTGGAATTTTTAAAACAGTGGTGGCCAACTTTTTTTGGCCAGCACACATACTCAAGATGTAAAGATGATATAGCAGAACTGCAGTATGTATGGCTATAAATATCCAGCACTGTGAGATAGTTTAGTTGACCAGACTAGGCTGACAGATCACCAGCTACTGAAAGATAGGCGGGGTAGAGTGCAAGCCTTATTCTATTCCATAACCAGACCCACAAGCTCTCCTGCTCTTGCAGTTCAGTGTAAGTGTGTTTCCTGCAACAACATTCCAAGCTCACAATCTCTGATCCAAGGACAGTTGGTTTCAGTATTTGTGCAATTTTAACTGATCAGCTAAGGTACGTACCACTTTGTTAAGATTATTGATAGTTTCTCGTAGCACTGCCTCTTTGATTAGGGTCCTTCTGGAGAGCAGTTCTTCGTGTTTGCAAGAGTAGCGCCAAGTGACATCAACAACCTGAAAAGCATGAATTGCGAAAGGATAATAATGCTAGCAATAATATGTTATTAGTTTCAAACACTGTGATATTAGAATTATTCCAGTTAATTATTCCTTGCCATAAATCTATTTAGTAGCTTTATATGGTAGCCAATTATTAAGTGTTCAATGCATTTCAAAAGTGTTCTTTTAGCCTAAGAGCCACATTCAGTTCCAGAGAAACTCTTAGGGTCCACATTTCAGTTGGGAGGGGAAAGGCAAATGGTGTGGATCCAAAACCCACAGAATAATTTAGCATAAAGTTTGTACTGCTTAATCTAAGCCTTAAAAGGGATATATCATGTTTCTGAAATAGAACAGAAGTACATAAAAGCTGTGAAAACACCAAGAGCTTGGTTGTTGGGGAAAGTAGTATCCAGTGTAGGGTACTCCAGAGGGATGGATTTGGCCCATCGATCTGAGCTTCTATACATCTGCTTTAAAGGCAAAGCTATTTCTGTACATTTTGGTCTTTTTTTCAATGAATATGCCTTCTCCTACCTCATCTTTAGAGAAAGCAATAATGTAGGAGAGTTTTTTCCCCCAGCCAATTTCATACAGAAGGGGTTTATCACAAACATTTTCACAAGGGTCACAATGGAGCCATCTCTTCTGAGATGAAGAATACACTTCAGTCCATACATGATCTGTGGAGAGGAAAAGGAAAGAAACCAATATTGGAAATGGAGGCCCTTCATTTCAGGAAACTGAACTCTTCAAACTTTACTGGCCTTCAAAGCTCCCCACCTTGGAATTCATGCCAATTAAAACAAAAGGCATTTGTTGTGACTATGAAGCACCAAAAGGATCACATTTAATTTGCAAACAAGCTAATTTTGACCCTTCTGGGTGTTCCTTCAAGTAATATGTGAACTGTTAGACTAAATATGTTAAACTGTTTACTGCTTTAAAGGTCTGTGCCAGCCTTTTTTAAAAAATGAAACTGAAAATGTACTGGCAGCCAGGGGAAGTGGTACAATACAGCTGTCACACAACTTGACTGCCTAGAATCTTGCAGCCAGTTTGTAGTAGCTGTAATTTCTGAGTTACCTTAGAAAGTTCTAGGGTGACATATTTTAAAGTGGCTGTACCTTTATGCAAACCTTTGACATGCACATGTACATCTCTTATTGCAACTCTGGTCTTCTAAAGAATTAAGATATACATGTCTGGATGGTAAATGTATGTTAAGGGTCATTTAAAATCCAGACCCCAAACAAGACATATGTCCTTTCCACCCATATTCCTTGCATTCCAGCTATGATGAGGATCATTGCACATGATGTGCAAGATATATCTGGCATCAGCACAATCCTAAACTCCTAAAAAGAGTGAGAAAGTGTGCACATGGATTTTTGGCAAATCTTACAGAGCTGGTGCAGTCTACAAGCCAAGCCTGACAAGCTGTTTCTGGCAAGCACCCCTACTGCTAGAGAGTAGTTGTGTGAACACTCTTCTCAAAAATCTTCACAATTAATTTGGATATATGTTCCCCAACTCAACCATACCACTATGTCTATTCCTGGAGAATGCAAATCTGATCATGGGCATTCATTCAAAGCATTTTCCCATCCTCTAGCCAAAATAGCTCCTAGAGTGCATTGGAAAGCTAAAAAATAAGAGTATACTTGTCTGTAAACTTACAATCTAAAATACAAGATGTATGCACACACACAAAGGGACTAGAAGTGAAGGGGAATAAAGTAAACTCATGCCTAAAGAAAATCATAGTTTCATGCCTTTCTCATATCACATCTGGATTACTGAGAAGCTCCTTATATAGGGCTGCCTTCTAAGAGTTCTTAGAAACTACAGTTGGTTTGCATGTAACAACCAGGCTGTTAACACAGGTCTAGATATAGAGTACATGATACTCTTTAGCTTGTTGGAAGACCTGCAGTAGCCTCCTTTTTTTTCTGGCTCACAACTGAGAGCCAGCAGAGTATAGTGGTTAACATTGGACTGGGACTCAAGTTCTATCCCCACTCAGCCATGTAGCTCCCCTGGATAACTTTGAGCTAGTCACAGACTTTCATCCTAACCTATATTCTATATTACAGGCTTATTGTGAGGATGAAATGGAGAGGAGCAGAACTTGTACACTGCCTTGGGCTCCCTAGCTAAAAGATGATAATAAATATAACAGAGAAGTAGATATGAATCCCTGGCAATGACCTTTAAAACCATGCCTGTTGGGGACTGCTGTCTTCCATATAAGCTTACTCTACTACTGAGATCATTTTCTGTGTATCCCATCATTTTTAGAAATATGCTTAATCATGAGGACCTACAGTCTGGAATTCCCTTTACTGGGAATTTTTTTCACAAGATAGCTAAAACCTACCTTTCTGGGAAGGCATTTGAGCTGCAGTTAATTTTACTGAATTTGCATTCTAACAACTTCACATTTTTGGACAATGTTACTGTTCTATTGTCATCTTCTGCTGTTATTTTAACAATTTAATGCTATAAGGGTTATTTAAATGGTAAGTCCATGGCTTGATATTTGTTCTTATTCCTGCTGAGCTCTCCAGAGGGGCATAAATTATTTAAAATAAAAGCTAAAGTCGATTTTTACTAACTTTTTAGCCACTATCCCAAAAAATCATAATGAATGCCCATGTCCTTATTTTTGAATTTTTAATCTCCAGCTAAATTTGGGGAAGGGAGAGGGGAAGCAGGGTTTCCTGAGCTTGCACAGAACTGCTTGTTTCACAAGAAAATATTTCAGAGTCATCCCTCCTTTATTGTTCCCACATATTATCAAAGATACAAGCATCTGCATGAATGAGCAACGAAACTGATATGGAAAGAAATATGAAAAGAATGGCAGAGCATGCTCTGAAAGGATATTGCCATGGTATAATCTTTTTTTAAAAAGTCCCTGTCAGTACTTAGGGGTTAGAAAGTACTTAGGACTTAAGAACAAAAATGAACACATCCTATAGCAGTACACTCTGGTACAAGCTAATAATTTTATTCATGCATGCTAGCATTGTGGTTAATAGATGTCATTATGCAAGTCTAAAGCAACTCTTGGTATTTATAAAAATAAATAAGAACACTTCAAGATAAAGGAGAAAACACCCTTTTACTTTACAAGCATCACTACACTGGACACATTTCTGACTATTCAAACAAATGAGACAAAAATGTAATTTTCTTCCATTATAAAAGGAAATTTCATATGTCTTATAAATACTTATGCAATCCTGAATCCTGCACTGTTAGACGTCACTTGTTTTACCAAGATTGTTAGTCACATGTATAAACTGCTTACAAAGTAACCATACAGTCAGCTAGACAGCATCTATAGACTATAGAATTTTTCAGATTCTCAGCTATGATGTCGGAAAATCACTCTTACCATGTAGCCTGGGATTCATGCTTGGGGTGCTCCCCTACCCACAGATGTTTCAGGAAAAAACATACCAACTGTGCCTCTGAGGCTAAGTGATCTCATAAAAGGGCTTTGGGGGTATTCTGGGGGTAAGAAAGGGAGCAGACTGGTGCTGCTATGATATAACATATCCTGCCTGCACCTCAGCCTCCTCTTCTCCTGCTCAAAAGCACCAAACTTGGATGGCCAAAATCAGGTGTATAAGTGCTTTGCAGAATGAAAGGTGCAGGGAGGTGATCTGCATCCTCTCACATGTCATAGGATGCCTGTAATTCTCCAAGTTCAGAGGGTCACAATCATCCCCATAAGACTGAGCTCTTAAGAATTTTCTTGCAGGTGTTCAACACACTTCAGTAGAACTTCATTAACTCTGCTTCAGGGTACATAAATTTTGCAATCTTAGCATGAATATAAGTGGTACAAGAATAGGCATACCTGTTGCATCCCAAACATATCTTGCTTCAAATCCTACAGCTCTGCAGCATAGAGTAAAACAGTTGGCCCATTCTCCACAACGCCCACGTCTAGTTTCCAAAAGTTTCTCAGGATTGTTGTACCTGTACACATTTAAAAAACAACTTTTTGCAATCATTGCCACAAAAACCTAAAAGTTATGAATTTGTAACAGATAAAATATGAAATGATTAAAATCATATTAGAATCATTTCATCTAAGAACTCTCCCAGATTGTCCAAGCTTCTTGAATGTTCTCCCTTCTTGTCTCTTCTGCATCATGTCTATTAAACTGCAAACCATAATTGCAAACTGTAAGCTAGTTAGAGTGTGTTGCAGAGAGGCAATCAACAAATGCAAGCAATGAAAGGAAATAGTTGAGATCCAGCCCTCACTTTAAATCTCAACATCTCTACCTATTGTCAAACACTTAAAAGACCAGGAGGGAAGATAACCTTTCCTTCTGGTAGACCCCCTTCTTTATGCAGATACTCCAGAAAAATAATTTCCGACAGGCTTCCACCAGTCAGGATGAACCTCCTGACACACCCTAGTCTGTTTGGTGCTGGTGGAATCCCCAAGCCCCATTTCCTGTTTCTGCTTGAGGAGTTTCTGAGCCCTAATGGGACTTCAGCCATTTTTATACTCCACTCACCTTGGAAATCTGTTGCTGAACTGGCATTGGGTACAGAAATGATTTTCAACCCTATTTGCATCCCATCTCAGATCATCGTCGCTGGGTGACAAATTATCTCTAGATTCTGTGTGGCCTCCACACTTGCTGCATGGAAGATTATTTACCCACTGGAAATAATCATATTTAAACCAGTTCAAGAGCTCTAGCAACAGAATATCCTCTTCATTCACAAGGGAGCCTGAAAAATTAACACACAGTAATTAAGCCAGACTCTCCAAGTATATAATTAAAGTGAACTGGAACATGTACTAACAGAAGGTGTACAGAACTGAGGTGGCTCCAATTTCCAAAGGAGCATAGAGAAATACTAATTTAATATCAAATTTTGTATAGAAACTGTAGTATTACTACATTTTTCTAAAAAAATTAGGCCAAGATGTATCTGCTTTGTCCCTTGTTTGACCTCTGGAATGCTGAAAAAGATTTACTGTAAGCAAATGTAAATGCATGGTAGGGCAGAAATTCCCAATTTTAAACATAAACTGATAGGGTCTGAGCAAGTGGATGACCAAGAAATAAGTCTTGGTGTTATGGTGGCCAGCTCAATGAAAGCATCTACTCAGTACATGGCTATCCAAAAATGCATATGCTATTCAGACAGAATTAAGAAAAGAATTGAAAATAAAATGGCCAATATCATGCTGCCCTTATACAAATCTACACTGCAATTGCACTTAGAACAGTGTGTTCAGATCTGGTCACTGCACCTAAAAACAGATATTGTCGAGTTGGAAAAAAGTGCAAACAAGGCCAACTAAAATGATCAAGGAGCTGGGAAAACTCCTCTATCATGAAAGGTTACAAAAACTGAGTTTGGTTTACAAAAAAGGCAAGTAAGGGAAAACATTAAAGAGGTGTACAGAATTATGCAAGATATTGAGAAAGGAAAGAGGGAATCATTTTTCTCCCTCTTCCATAGATTCTTCCCATGAAGCTGATTGGTGGAAGATTCTGGACAGATTAAAAAAAAAACACTTCTGCACACAATTCATAGCTACACTATGGAAATAATTACAGGAAGCAGTGATAGCCTCCAGTTTGGATGGCTTGAAAAGGGGAGTGGAAAATTCATGGAGGAGAAGACTATGAATAACTATTAGCCTTGATGGCTATATGCTACCTCAAGTATCAAACACAGTATACCTATGAATACTGGTTGCTGGGGAACTTGGGACAGCTGGGTGCTTTTGAACTCATATCCTGCTTGTGGTATCCTGTGGGCAGAAGTGACTTCAGCACCCAGTCAAGCTGTGCAGGTTTCTAACTTTTATAACTGCTGATTAAACATTCTATTCCCACTCGCTCTCTTCTGCCCATTGTTCCAGTGGCATGTTCTTGCTCCAGTTTAGTCTGGCTATAACTAATTTTAGCTGTGCCATCTTTGCTTCTCTTAGTATGGGGGGTTAATTCCTAGTTTACACAGGGGTAATTGAGTATGTAACAGGTTGGAGTGCCTTTGAGACCAATGATCTGGACATATTTGTTTATGAATGGACTGTCATGTCATGTCACATGTATCAGAGAACAGTGGTGAAGTTGTCCCTGGTCAGACCTTTGGTTGCATCCCTCTGGTGTTGGGCTATGCTGCCTGCCTGAAATAGCAAACTCAAAGCTCAGTTCCTGCTCTCCACAGCCACTAGCTCTGGATTTGAGGAACTAGCTCAAAAAGTTCACTCAAAAGACTGAAGAGATCACTCGTTTTGCTTAGCTTTGAGTACAGCTCTCATCAGCCAGCCATCTCTAACTTCAACTCCTTATCATCTACTCTCCAACTATCTTTAACAGTCTCTAAGAGACTTTTCCCTGATCTTTAAAAAATGTCCATGCCAATCATGTTATTTATGGAACTTTTAACTGTCAATCATGTTTGTTGATCTACCTGACCAATCAAAAAGAAGATAGCTTCTCTCATTTAATGTTCTGAACAACCTGAACCACGTGAACCACCCACTTCCCATCTTTGTAACATGTAATGTTCCATGCTGCCTGTTTACAATATAGCATAACTAAACAGGCCAACATGTTTAGTGATTTCTAAAGTGGGCAGATATTTCCTCCCCTGGGGTCAGAGGAAAGATCCAGGGGAACTGTGATTGGTTGTTTTAAATTTGCAGTAGAACAACAGACCTAATACAGATAAGGAGGCATAGGAATCCTTTTGTTGCCCAAGAAGAAAGGGACCGGCAGCCCAAAATAAGTTTGGAGACCAATTATAGCCTTTTGGGATCCCCATTATAGTCTCACAGAGACCACACACTCTATTTAGACACAATGAAACAAAGAATTATTTAGACAACATTTCTCTACACAGGGCTGATGGGAGCCTGAAAGTACTTTCCCCTTAGCTGCTGAACACCTGTCCTTACAGCAAGGCAAAGCTCACTTTTGTTATATTCCTAATGCCATCTGCACAAAAGTAGCAGCAATATTACATGCAGAGATTCAATTACAGTTTTGAAATTCATATAATAATACCATTCATCATGTTTGGTGGGAGTCTGGAATGATTCAGAATGGGAACAAAAGTATTGTTTCATTTAAATGTATGCAGGCTAGACACAGGCTTTCCCTGTCTTTCTATTACAGCTAATCAATCTAGGTAGCCTACAAGGTCCCTCTAGTTTGATGGAAACTAAATCTGTTTTGTGTCTGTGTGTAATAGATTAATCTAAGGCACTGTTCTTATGCTGGTTCCACAAAATGAATGACACAGAATAGACAACTTTATTTTAAAGGTAAGCTATCAAACTTCATTAAGTTCTCTTTGAAGCACAGTTTTAAGAACTAAATCAATAAAGTAGGATACATTAGTCTCTGTCACTGCCTCTCTGTGCGTGTCTGTGTCTTATCCTCAGTGATGATTGCCAATAATAAAACATTTCTTTGTAACTCAGATAATTACAAACAACTAACGGAAGAAAGGGATTTTTCAGAGTTCCAGCTCTCATGGCAGAAATTGCTTGCATGAAGGAACAGGAACTCCATGCTCAGAGTGGTCTCTCTCCCCATTCACAGCTGGCGCAGAAAGAACCATTACAGCTGCTTCTCCAGGATCTCAAAAATAACCTTAGGAAAGGGATTCACCGGGCATTCCAAGGGAAGGGAAGGGAGGAGACTGGCATCGCCATGATACAACATATCCTGGCAGCACCTCAGACTTCTTTCCTCCCTTTCTGGAGTGCGATAGCTACATGGCCATAATCAGCTTTGCACTCTTCTTGCCCTGCATAGGATGCCTGAAATCCTCAAAGTTCAGAGTATTACAGGTGGCCTCATCAGAATGCAACTTAACAGTGCCACACATTTCACCTCACACATGAATCCAAAGCTGTGAAAGGCATTACTTAGGCCTGAAGGCCTGAAGTCTGTGCCTGCTACAGGTTAACAAAAAATGACAATGTTTTTCCAGAATCTCAAAAAGTCTTCTGTTCTTTCTCTGTGTACCATAGAAATACCACAATATTCAAAACTGCAATCAATTCAGAATTACAACTAAAATATTTTTTGGCTCTAAAGAACATGTGAAATTGTTTTGACTCAGTTCACAGATGAATTCTAGAAACAAACTCAAAACTCCAAAGATAAGTTATGGAAGACTCCTCCTTAGAACTCTTTTCTGCATGAATTACATTTCAGGCTTTCTAATAGATTTAAAAAACCGGACTTCTTCAGTGCTACCTTCTCCTGAGAGCGTAACTAATTTCTGTGACTCAGAACTGCTTTATATATTTGTCACTGCAATCTTAGTATGACTAATGTGTCTATGTTATCATGTACTGTTTTGTATACTGCTTTATGAGGGCATGGCCCTGGAAAGCTGCCTAGAAATACTTGAAACAAAAACAAACTCCTTCATTCTATACAAGTTGGCTAACAGTCTTTAAGAAGATTATTGGATGCACCTACTTGAAATATTTAGGGTAAGAACAGTCAACCTCGAGAAGTTTTAATTTACAACTCCTATAATCCCTGACCATTCAACATGTCCCCTGAGGCCTGTAAGAGCTGCACTTTAAAAAAATATGGAGAGCACCATGTGGTCTATTCCTAATTTATGGCTACATAGATCAGGTCAGTTTTTACTACTGTAGCCCTTTCTGAGTCTTCTAATCTCCTACACAACTACAACATAGAGAGGGACTGAGCACATTAGCACCATGAGCTAGAGTGCAAATGTTTGCTCTGGTTCAGTAGGGAACTGCACAGAAGTTCTAGATCAGGGTTACCTACACAAGCAGAACATTCCATGAAGCAAACATTCACTCTCCAGTTTATGGAACTAATGTGTTCTTCCCCACCCTTCCTTACCTGCTTCAAAGAATTTGTGTGGTTAGGATGCCTGACGAGGGTTTCTGATGATCAGGTTTCTTTAATGCTTGATGGAAAAGCACACATGAAATCAATTCTGGAATGCATCCCATTGGATATGTTTTGCAAGTCAAGAGAAATACCTACACTTGTGCAGAAAAGTTCTGCTTAATATCTCCGAAGTTTTTAAGCTGTATTAAAAATATTACCTCTGTCCTTTTCTCTGACTTCTGTTAACTTTTCTTGAGCTTTCTTTCTCAGTTGTTGGATTGGGATGCAAGCCAATACTTTCCTTTGTAAAACAGGGTTCTCATATACCATGACATGTAGGAAGTTTGACTGAAGGGTCTTCAAAAAAATGGATTCAGTTGTCTAAAATGGAAAAAAGTGTGTTTTGTTTCAGTTGTCACAAACCAATTTTCTAGCAACATCTGGCCATTAATTGTTCTAAATAAGCCTTCCCCAATTTGATGCCCTCCAGATGTGCTGAACTACTGGCTGGCCAGGAATGCTGACTAGGTATAATGAGAACTGTAGTCTAGCACATCTGGAGAACATCAGATGGAGGAAAGTTGATTCAAAATGGCCTAAAGAGTGATGTTCAAAGCTATTTGAAAGGCATAATCAGTAAGATATATGAAGACAAGCTACACAAATTCTTATAGCATCTGAAGGGCTTTCTGAAGTTGAAAAGAAATGTGTATTTCACATAAGGGCCTTCCAGTGAGGAAGCAGAATGACCATGATGTTCTGCTGGGTATGTTGCACTCTTATTGATCTTAGTCTCTGTGTACATTTATTTTTATCTATTTCAATAATGTAAAAACTGCATTTGCATCTAAAAATTGACTTCAGGTTGATATAAAGAAGTTTGGTGTGAGTAGTAAGAGCTTCAAGGCTGTAAATGCACAAATATTGATTTAACCAGGGATGCAGTCAAAATACTAACAAGTGGCACCTAGTGAACCAAGTGAAACACAACCACATTCTCAGGACTGCTGGAACAGTCAGTTATGGTGAAATAGCAGATAATCAGCTGATCATCAGAAATGAGAGACTTAGTGGCAGTTATACTTCCATAGTGATAAAAGATGTCCTCTTAGTGTGCCCCTTCTTTGGATTACAACCTGAAGTTAGTTAGGCCGTCTGAACAAAACAAGCCTGACAGCCACTGCGACTGCTCAAAACAAATGATCCTTGGGTGGCAATCCCACCTTCCTGCTCAGTAGAGAAAATACACTCATTTCTCAATACAGAAAAAGACATACAGATTCTGAAGAAGCCACCCACATCTTCCTGGTATGAGTTAGCACCTATTTTGAAATGAAAAGCAAAATGGAATAGCTCCATTTGTGATTCTAGAAGAGACATATTGTCTGAAACTATATTTTAAAGGATCTTGCAGAGAAAAAATAATGTGTAACCACATTTTCCACTACCTTCACAGTGTGACTTTACTTTGTTACATATTGATTCAAAATTATGGAATTTATCTTGTCTATAAATAGTGTTCTATTTATGAACACTATTCAGGGGAAGAGGAAGCAAAATTGTTGGGAAACATCCTGAAACTCTGTCAGCTATTTATCTTGTACTTCAGGAAATCTTGGACGAGACTGTTCCCTGGGTGCCCATCCCTCTCTTATCTTAGCACCCTCCATATAAGAGTGGAAAGCTGAGCACCCCACATTTACAGAGACAAGTAACACCAGCATATGTACACTCAAAAAGATACACACAAGGACAGTTGCCACAGATGGCTATTTATCTGTTCCCAAGAGTTATTATGTGAATTAAAAGTCCGGCACTCCCTGTGTTCTGATTTTTTCATATTCATTATCACTTTCAAACCATATTCCTTGCTCAGTGTAACAGCATTCTGGGGTGATTACCATGACAGCAGACTGAGGCTCTACACTGGCAGTAGCTCCTGGAGGTTGAGCCGCAAGAGGCTGAGTGTTGGTTATCTTCTGAGAGGACCCTGATCTTTCATTTTGATTTGTTCTATTTAACCGGCTATTTCTTTCTCCAGCAATTAGATCACGAATTTTGTGTAGCTGCTCAATTGATGCTTCCTTTGGAAAAACAAGATGTGTTTCCCCCTAAATTATAAATACAAAAATAAAGTCTTCTGTATTAAAATGTAAAAGTAGAATCTTAATGATATCACCTGACTTTACATATCGCCTTGTTATAAACCACCCAGAGAACTTTGGCTATGGGGTAGGATAGAAATGAAATAGATCATGAGGATGATGCACGAACAATGGGGACACCATGACACATGCTTTATCAGATATTTTTCTCAACCCCATAGAAAAGCATTTGGCATACAACTTAGTTAAACTATTGCAAAGAATTGTAGGTGATAAAACCTGAGCCTTCTAGGCTTTATAACCACACACAGAGAAGGCACCTAGTCATGAGGTCAAGTCCTCAAGGCCCAGCACACACATACATAAGAAATTTGGTTCAGAGGGAACACCATCACAATAGTTCTCAACTCTCTACATTGGTTTCATATTGAGAAGAACACACATTATTTATGGATTTCATGAAATGCAGAATGTCTAGTGGCATGGAAATAGGAAGAAGAATTCTTGGTTTCCTTTACAGTGTAGACTTCCATTTTTGTAAGATAAGCCATAAAGTTTGCAAGTGAGATATGTAACACTTCTGTTGACTGAAAAACACATATATCTTGATGGCAGCTTAAAAAAAAACTCTTGAAAATTATGTCAAGTTTCCCTTGGAAAATAAAGTCTGAACTTCAACAAGACTGAGAAAACCATGACATACAGTTGTATAATGAAAGCTAAATACAATTGAAGATATAAATTGGCCCAATGAGAGAATGTGTTATAAAGAACTGGACCTTTTCAATGCACTCACCTCTTCAAATCCCATTTCAAAGAGACATTCAACAGCTCCTCTGACAGGTAATAATCTTGTGGAAAATGCTTGATTTCCAAGCCGAATATACCGATATTTTTCTTCATGTGGGTGTCTGACACATTTAAAAGAAAAACAGAAGGCAGGTTTATGCAATACTTACATAAAAGTGTTTTATCAATTTAGACATCTGGAACATAGCTGTTATGTTTAGTAAAATACCCAAATAGGGCTTCCTGCTGCACATTAACTTATCCCAATATGACATTTTGGTGGCTATAATGACATTCTGTGGATGCTTAGTTTTGAAACATTATTTATTTACTATATTTATTCTCATAAATTATTTAGTTATGATACTTATGTAGCATATTAAGCTTGTAACAAATCAATATTCTGGCCCCTGGAAGGGCATTCCAGGAGCCATAAAATAACAGCAACCTCCAGGTAGCAAGAGAGAAAAGGGATGTGGCTGGAGGGAAGGGAAAATGTTAAAATCTCCCTCAGTGGTCCTTCTTGAGTACCTGCTGTTAAAATACTTTAGAGAAGAATACACCAAGGATACTTCCCAGTGGTTCCCTAAAGAATATGGAATATCTTTTCTATATTGACTTATGCCCTTTCCAATCTGAATAGATGTTCAGGCCAGCTTTGAAGATCTTCCTGTTTAATGCTGCCTTTAACTGAGATAATCATAAGCAATGTTGCTATTGTGTCTTTGAATCTGTAATTACTCGTCTGTAAGTCCCTTTCTGAGTTTGCAACCCAAAGCAACTAAAATGTTCGCGCGCACACACCACACCACCACCATCATAACTTGAAATCAGAATCAGTCACAATCTTGAGTGGAAACCTGATGGAACTACTTAACCCTTTCTTCTCTAGCTCCCCCATCCTCAAAATCACACCCTCTCCAGCTGCTGAAAAGGGCAAGACACTCATCACTGTTTCTTTTCCTTTCTGGAATGTAGCAATAGGCAAGGAAAGGGACTTTAAGTGGGCAAATGGCTGGAGGAGAAAAGTTTAGCAGCCTGTCGCTTCCATATTCCCCAATCAAGACTACAACATTTCTGGGTGTTGATGTCCTCTTGATTAGTTAGGTGGTGACCAGACAAGAAATCATCAGTGATAATACCTTGTGTGAAAAGCCCTCTCTAGGGAAGTGCACCAAGCTCCAAATTTGGTGCCCTTTTATCACCTGATGAAGTCTGTATCTAGACCTTCCAGCATATAACCAAGCTGCTTTTAAGCCAGCCTTTCCAGGCTGGGAAAGTGAAAAGTTATAGTCCAACACAAGTGGAGGGCCCCAGGCTTGTTTGAACCAATAAAAATGGTGCCTATTTCTGTGAATCTCTCTCATTTCTTCTCTAAGGACGCTGTATGATCATTCTCTTCAAATTTCTTAGGAAAAGAATGATAACAAGCTGCTGAACCAGATGCCTCTGCCAAACAGGGAAGCCTAGATTTTTACTCTAGAATAAAAAAGCATTTTTCTATATATAATGCAGTGCTGGGGACTCGAGTCAAGTGACTTCCTCCCAAGTCCAACTCAAGTCATATCAGCAACAAGTGACTGAATTGACTTGAGATTTCTATTGTTCTCATGACCAAGTCACTTTTTGGCAAGAGGAAGGCAGCGGGAGGAAGGTACAAGAGGGCAGGGGTGGAGGGGTTGCAATACAAGTAGTTCCTGGGTTTCATACTTATGAACACATGGACTGCCATAAACCCTATATTAATAGCTCTAATGAAAAGGTGTGAATATCTCTAGGAAAATATGTAACAAATATGACAAGTGGGCATGTAGTCCCCTAGAGATATTCATGGCTTTTTGTGGAGATAGAGATTTTCTAGAGGTATTCATGGCTTTTCTTTCCACAGCATCGGCTCAAAAGTGCCTAAACTGTGTGTTTTGGGGCACATGTAGGGCCTCAAGGATGAAGCAGGACCATAGCAAAACAGTTTCTGGGAAGGGCAGAAGCAGAGGTGCCCAGATTACTTCTCCCTACTCCTCTGTTGTTGTTCTTTTAAAGCTTGAATTCCTATTTTTATTCATAAAACTAATCCGTGAGGCAACTTTAAGCCTTGCATTGATGAATACTGATGGAGATGGACCTGGTGCTGGTGAATCAGTGTTTGTTTGTGCTGCTGGAGATGGAGGGAAGGTTACCACTGGAGTCACTTTTTTGAAGTAGGCCTCAAGAGTTGTTTGTATAGCCATTTTCTTTTCTCATCATAAACGGCTTTGTAACAGCTGAGGACCTGGTTACAAGGGTAAAGGCTAAATGCAGATCAGTATTACCATGCCCATACTACAGATGAAGAAATGATGCTGAATTGTCAGCAGAGAGAGAGAGAGAGAGAGAGAGGGAGGGAGGGAGGGAGGGAGGGAGATCTATTCTGTCTGAGTAGAATTTGGGAGGTTTGATCTCCTCCAAAGTGGCCAAAAGGCTTGCAAATATTAACTAATTCTATAAAAAGAAAGAAAGACAGACAGACAGACAGACAGAAAAAATGAAAGATATGATTTTCCCCTCTTTTTTTAGACTTGGTTTTGGTTGGAACTGTGGCATTTTATTATTTGTGCAAATTTAACTGTTTTCCACACACACACAAATTTAACTCCTCCCTTCCAATATCTGGCAAGATTTGCACAAATGTAATTTAAAAAACCTTTCAGGGAGATGTGTGCAAATTTGCTAATATACAGTCACTACTGCCCTTTAGAAAATGTGTGTGCACCTCCCCAAAGGTGTGTGTGTTGTGGGGGAGGGGGCAGGGAATCTCCAAATTAAATGTTGCTTTGCTGATGAGCACTTGTGCACTCATTAGGCTTCTGAGGATGTGATACAAAGGCTGGGAGCAGGTGGGAAGACTAACAGCGAAACAAGCTACAAAAAGCCACAGAAAGCTTGATTACTTGTCAGGAATAATGTACATTAGTGAATAAAAACTAGACACCATAGCTTGTGTTTTAGGGAACTGGCCCATTGAGTTCATCCAATACAGCACTGTTGACATTGTCTGGCAGTGGCTCTCCAGCGTTTTAGGCAAAAATTCTTCCAGAACTGCCTGGAGATGCTTGGGGATCAAAGCTGGGGCTTGCTGCATGCAAAACATGTGTTCCACTCCTGTGCTATGCTCCCTCTATACATGTATATGGGCGTCCACTAACACATGACTCCTGGGTGTCTTAAGCAACAAATAAAATACAATATCAAAAAACAAACTAATTTTAATAATCATTACATGCAACATAAAATGTCTTCTCTAGAGAGAAAAAGAAAATAACTCAAGGCACAACTCTCTATGTGTAGACAGGCATTTCCCAGCTAACATGACTGGTACTGTGCAATGAAAAAGGCAATGGTAAACCACTTCTGAATATTTCTCACCTCATAAATCCTATGATGAAGTAAACCACAATGAAACAAGAGATAGTAGCAGAAGCTGTAACTCCCAGGTCATAAAGTATGAATAAACTGAGGAAGAGCAAAGTCCAAGTAAGAATAGCGGTGTCACTAACGATGCAAGTAGATCTAAGTGGAAAGGAAGCCTAGTGGTGGCTGCCATGCACTAAGTAGAAAGGAAAGTCTGATACTACACAACAAATACAATGGGAACAGGAAATATGAGAAGTATGAATCATGGCAAACTGGAAATTGTAAAGCAAGAAATGGAATGGCTATATATCACAGTACTTGGTATGAGCGAACTAAAGTGGACTGGAAAAGGACATTTTCAGTCATAAGTGTTTTACTTGGGAAATGATACACTCAGAAGAAATGGAGTGGCTCTAATACCAAGGCAATATGTAGCACAGGCAATAAGAGGCTATCATGCAAAGTGCAACTGAATCATATCAATCAGAATTTGTGGAAACCTATCATCATAACCATTCTTCAAGTCTTATGTTCCAACAAATGAGGACGAAATCAAAGGCTTTTATGCAGGTGTTCCTGAGGAAACTGATAACACACCAAAACAAGACAACATCAGAATGCAAATGTTGGAAACAAAGCAGAATCAAATGTTGTGGGAGAATTTGACCTAGGGTTAAGAAATAAAGCAGGAAACCAACTCGCATCATTTTGTGAAACGAGCAATATGTTTATCGGCAATACTTAATGCAGACAACTGACTAGGATAAGGGAGTGAAAGTTGGCAGAAGATAAATAATTAAAGTTATGCAGATGATACTACATTACTGGCAGAAAGCTGCAATGAACTGAAATGACGCCAGGTGAAAGTGAAAGAAGAAAGTGCAAAATCAGAACTGCAGCTGATGGGAAACAGAAACAGATCGAGTCAGAAGGGGCCTCCTGGGCCATCTAGTCTGACCCCCAGCTCTAGCCGGTTCCACTCACAACAAGCCTACCATGTGCATGTCAAAAATCATGACTACAAAAATATTACAGAACTTTAATGCCAACAATGAAAAAATAGAAATTTCGAAAGACCTTGGCTCAGTCATCAATTCAAATGGAGAATTGAAATTAAAAGAAGACCGAGACATGGAAGGCCAGCAATGAAGAAACTAGAAAAGATCATCAAGTGTAAGGATGTTTCAGTGGCAACCAAGGCCAAGATCATCCACACTACATATTCCTGAACACTATTGATGTACAAATCAATAGGTATAACTTACACAGATATAATTGGGCAATCAATGACAGATAACTAGGCCAGAGAAAAACCCTGTTTTCTAGAAATCAGCATGTGTGCATCCTTGAAATGCAGCTGACACTGATCAGGCACCATTCCAAGAAAGCTAGTTGACACTTGACAGATAACAGCAGCTCAAACAATGGGCAATTCCCACCAACCCAGCCCCATCTTCCTCCTCTTCTATAGCACCCCATCCTCCCCACTCTTTTGGAGCATTTTCTTTGGCATAAGAGTGGGAAAGTTCACGCCATTTTAACTTTTTCCTTCTGTAATCTATTGGAAAGTGTTAACTGTGTTACGTGTAATCTTTTGATGATCATTGTATGAAAAGGCCAACTGAGGGCTGCTCAGGGACACCATCGGGAATGATTCGTTGGCAGCTGGTGATTTTCGAGAATAAATCTTTTTAAAGAAAACTTTCCCTGTTGTGTATTTGGGCATACACACACCAGGACATAAACCATTTGGTCAACACTATGTATGGTGTGAAAGCTGGACAGTGAAGAATGGATGCTTTTACTGCTGGAGGATGCTGGAAGAGAGCTTTAAGAATACTCTGAACTGATAGAAATACAAAAAAGTAGTCCTATATTAAATCAAGCCAGAAATTTCCCTAGAAGCAAAAATGACAAAACTGAGGCTGTCATACTTTGGGCACATCATGGGAAGGCAAGACTCTCTGGTGAAGACAATCATGTTAGGGATCGATGAAGGCAGAAGGAAAAAAGGAAGGCCAAATATGAGATGGACTGACTTCATCAAGGAAATCACACCCCTGAATTTACAAGAGTTCGGCAGGGCTGTGGAGAACAGGACATTTTGGTGCACTTTCTATCATAGGATTGCCATAAGGTGAAGATGACTTAACAGCACACAAGATGGCCACACCCTTCCTTGGCTTGGCTCCACTCCACTTCCCCCCAGTAATGAATCTATGGGTGGTTTCCTGGCTTTTCCCATTCTGAAATGCCAAAATGCCTCTCCTACAGCTCTAAGTTACAGCATGTTTGGGGGTGTACTTCTGGCTTGTGCATGACCAAAATATAGCCCCTGATAGCATCTGTGAAACTGAGCTTGAACATCTAAATGGGTGGCTAGTCACATCATTCAACTGTAGTCCTATGCATCATACCAATTTTGTAGTTTGGATACATCAACAGTATGTACACCCATTCTGGTTTCTCAAAAGTCTTCTACATATTCTACTGTTTTGGCTTATCATCATCATTCTTTTTTGTATGGCAACAATTCTGTTTCTAAACTGGCAGTTGTGGTTGTTTTTTTCCCCATTTACACCTTCCTAACATGGCTGGTCCGTTTCTGAAAAGGATGACATGGCAACTTCTAGCTTACCAGAAGACCACATCCGCTGACCAGGAAGCCCCAAAATAAATGCTTCTGTTCAATAAAGAACCTGCCTTCCACATATGCGCAGAAGCTCTCTTCATGATCAACCCAAGCTCTCTGAGCTGCATATGGTGTGACAGCACTGCCACTCAGAATATTTTCCAGGTCGGAGTCTTTTCTCATATTTTTAAGCTCTGCTAACCATGCTAGATGAGATCACCTGTCACAGCAGGACGGTGATATAAGGCACACAACTGCCTTGCAAATCTAACCGGGCTACTGCGACGAAGCTTCATATTACTCCAAAGGAATGGAAGATCACAATGGTAGGGCCATATACAGTACCGCATGTGATGCAAGAGTCCTAAGAAACCGCCATGCTCTATTGACTGACATTTGGGAGCGAGTTGGTTGTGGCCGACCAAGCACAAAGTCAGCAACTGCTATTATTGAAATTTATACAACCACAACAGCCCTCTCGACTTTTATCCCCGCCCGCCCGAGACACTATAAGCAACCCGTAAAACCGTGATCCCGAAGCTTTTATATCTCGAGACGAGCCCTTTCCCGGCTGCCTCTGCGGCGAAACAGACGCAAACCTTCTCACCCTCGCGGCTCTTGTTTGACGGGCCCGTCCGTCCCTCTCACCTTATGATATTATCCGCATAGGTAAGCAGCAACCGGGAGGCCTCTAAAACCGTTTCTGTGGGATTCTGGCAGAGCTCGCTCACTGCTCGCGAGATGGTCGGTGTGGAGGAATTCCCCGCAGCTGCCATCGCTCTGTAGCGGCCTCTGCCCACCCGGGTGTCCTTGGCAGTGAGCAAGAAACTTCTAAATCGCTAGGCGCCCGCCCGCGCTTATTTCTGCATAAAGCTGACTCAGGCAGCGACTCCAGAAAAGTGGAGCGAGCGGGCGGAATTTCCACTGCTTCTCTGCCTTTTAGAAAGTTCTATGGTGGCTTAGAAAGGGGTGGCGGCGACGCAGTTGTGACTGGAACGCTCCATTTTTCTGCAGCTTATGAGCATGCGCGGTACGAGAATATCACCCCTGGCGTCATAATAGAGTTCCTGAACCCCAGATTTGGGGAAGTTGCTTATGAGAGCCAAAATGGGCATGGCTTGACACCAGCGTCCAGCAGTTACATTTCCCCTTTCTCTCTCTCTCTTCACTCTAGAATAGGCGCTAGTCTTAAAAGGAGCGCGGAGAACAAGCTTTAAAAAAAAGAAGGTGCCAACTCCGATTTAAACACAGATTTAAAGCAATGGCTCCTCTGTTTCTGCTTGTTTTGCGTCAAGTGGACTGAACTTCGAAATGCACATTTTCCTACCCGGAAACTGCAATTATAGCTCTTCCAAGACTTTTAAAAGTGCCAAGTTGGTGTCGTGTGACGTTCAAATGTAGTTCCCTCAAAAGTCTGCTTTGAAAATTCAGAACTCACCGTATCTAGCTAAATTTAGCCATGAAAGGCTCTTCAATCACCTTAAAAGCAAGTCTTGTTAGCTCTTTTCCAAGCCTGCATAGGATCAAACTGTACTTAATAACAAGTACTAGTACATTACTATTATATTGTATTTATGTTCCTCCTTTTCTCCTGTGAGGAACCCAAGGTGGCTTACATAGCCCCATTTTACATTACATAGCTCACAACAACACCCTATGAGGTAGGTTAAGCTGAGAGGCAGTGACTGGGCCAAAATCTCAGTGCGCTGCATTGCTGAGTGGGGACTAGAATCAGGATATCCCAGGTTCCCAGTCCAGTACTCTAATCACCATGCCACACTGGGGCTAAATGACATTACGCTGAATGCCTTCTTGCATTTAGTGCAGCTTGCAACATAATTTATGTATGTTTACTCAGATGTTTCACTATACTTAATAGGGCTAATTCCATACTAAATGCATTTAAGATTGCAGCTTTAAGGTGCTTCATGATGGATGTATTGGAAAGCTATTTACTTACTTTTTTTAGTAGACTTGCTGTGGAAAGAAAAATAATGTCCAGATAAGGGCATTGTCCACCCAGCTCTGGCAGCTAACGTTCTATGAATAAGGCAGAGTGATTGCTTCCTGAAAGGTTTGTTTAGAAGCATTTTAGGGAACGATCCTACACATGGCTGGCTGGGAATGCTGGAAGTTGCTGGATATTTATTTATTAGTCTAAGCATGCCTAGGATTGTGCAACTGACTGTATGGACATCAGACTATAAAAAGTTTCTGTGCCTGGGGAATCTAAAAGCAACTAGAAATTATCTGAAAAACTATTAGGAAGCATTTTTAAAAGTTAAATATACAGTATCACCTTTTTTACATTGGTTTCCATTAAAGGCTTGATAAATAAACACCATTTTGGGGTGTTTTGGGAAATATATAATGTTTCATTTTCTCAAATGCTAGAAATGCACCAAAGCAGTCATATGGCTGGGTGGCATTTACCCAGGTGTCTTAGGTAAAGATTATTATTTTTCTTGTGAATTTAGATTGTACCAGTCCTGTAAGCAAAAGCAATGATTTTTTTCCCTTTTGTACTACAGGAATGCCTTTCAGATTACTGCAGTGATGCTTCTCCAGTGCGCAAGAGATTTATCAAAGACTGCATGCCTCAATCTTAAACATTCCCAAGTATGTCAGTGTTTGAGAATCAATATAAAGAGGATGAGCACTTGTTCTGCTCCTCACAGCCAAAGGAGAGTGGTTGTCACAGGCATAGGATTAGTCTCTCCCCTTGGTGTTGGAACCCAGCAGGTGTGGAACAACCTCCTGCAAGGAAATTGTGGAGTCGTTGCCCTTGAAGGGGAGGAATATTCTGCTGTTCCATGTAAAGTGGCTGCCTGTGTAAAAAAGGGAGTTGGAGAAGGCCACTTCCATGGCGAAAACTTTGTGTCAAAAGCAGAGAGCAAAGCCATGTCTTCTGCCACCATCATGGCCATTGGAGCTGCTGATTTAGCATTAAAAGACTCTGGCTGGTATCCACAATCTCATCTGGACTGTTTAAAAGCTGGTGTGGCAATAGGCATGGGAATGGTTCCACTGGAAGATATTTCTGACACAGCCTTGATATTCAAAACGAAGGGTTACAACAAAGTCAGTCCATTCTTTGTTCCAAAAATCTTGGTCAATATGGCAGCTGGCCATATTAGTATCAAATACCAACTGAAAGGACCTAATCATGCTGTATCGACTGCATGTACTACAGGAGCACATGCTATTGGAGACTCCTTTCGATTTATAACCTATGGTGATGCAGATGTGATGCTGGCTGGAGGAACAGAAGCTTGCATTAGCCCCTTGTCCCTAGCTGGGTTTGCTAGAGCACGGGCTTTGAGTACAAGCTTTAACTCAAGCCCAAAACTGGCTTGCCGTCCATTCCATTCACTTCGAGAAGGATTTGTCATGGGAGAAGGTGCTGCAGTCTTGGTGTTGGAAGAATATGAGTATGCTGTCCAGAGAGGAGCTAAACTTTATGCAGAAATTTTAGGATATGGACTCTCAGGTGATGCTTGTCACATAACAGCACCTGATCCACAGGGAGATGGTGCCTTCAGGTAAAAAGTATGAATGTGTAAAATAAATATTTATGGCTGCCGATACAGCCATAAATTATTATTCATAATATTTTATTATTTATTTTTATTCTCCAGCCTGATCTGAAAATAGCAGTGTGCTCCAAATTTTGGGGTAGCTGGGGAATGCTATGGGTTACAAGGCTTTTTTAAAAATGAGCATTCAAGGCATTTCACGCTTAAGATTTATGTTGGTAGGTTTCCTTTGGATGCCCCACCTTTCGAAATTAGGTAGATTGTAACTGACAAGAGGGCCTTTTCATTGGTGACATCCTGGTTGTAGAATATCCTCACCAAGCAGGGGTTAAAGGTGGTTCCCAATCTTTTTTATGCACTGCACCTCTATAAAAATTTTGAAATACGTTCACATATATCATATTTTAAGATGAAGTCAAATTTCTAATTTTTGAACCATGTTGAACCACATACAGTACTACAGGTAAGAAACTGAACTCAGAAAATAAGCTTTTAACTCAGTGCATAAAATTCAAGTATAAATTGAGCAATTGGAAAAAATTGTAAACAGTAACATCAGTCACAGTTTTGAACATGAAATGCAATAACTTCTTTGTTCCCACTTTTCATTCAAAATTTTGTCAAAACAAGGAACTTTCTTGCTGATTGTGATCTGCAATTCCTGTGGATTCAGATGATTTTTGTCTTGATTAACAAAAAAGAACCTAATCCTAATGACAACAAAATAATAATAATTTTATTAATTGTATAATTTTTGGCAAATTGCAATGCAACCTTCCTCTGTTGCACCCCCTGAAATGCCATATTGCATCTCCTGAGGGTACGGGCACCTCAGGTTGGGAACCCCTGAAGTAGGATTCGGGACAAGGCAAAGAAGAAAAAGGTTACACCAGTGTTTGTACTTCCCAACAGCATTTTGAGAATAGATCTTGTCCACAGAAACTGGAAATGATGTGATCCATATTTAAAAGCTAATTTACAAAGCTTAAGAAAACTGTGATGGTATTTAAATACATAGTACAAATTTAAACATACCAACCCTTATAAAATATTCCTTGTATTCCTTATATAAGACAACAGTGTTTTAAATGTGAGAGAATAAAACAAAACTTAAAATTTTTATATTGCACTCACATATACAAATGATTGATTAGAAAGTCTTGTCTCTAATACACTCCAGCAAGATTAAGTACAATTAGCATGCCAAAGTATATATAAATGATACTATGTTACAGTAACAAAGCATTATATAAATATTTTAAACCAGCAAGTATAATATCCTTTTTAAAAGGGAAGAATCAAGAAGGGACAGTCTGGAAATGATAGGCTGCTAGACTTAATGTTTCTTTGGATAAATTGTTAGGAAACATTATTAAAGGTAAATTTATCAAACATATATAAGAACAAGCACTACTGAAGGTATTCTGCAAAGGTAGGTCCTATCTCCGTGATCTCCTATAGTTCTAAATAAGTGTCAGCAGAAATGTGAATAGTGGTGATCTAGCCTGCCTGTCCTTTTTTGAAAAGGTCTTGACAAAGTCCTGTATTCAATGTTCCTGCATAGACTCAGCACTCAAAAGATCAGAAGAGAGGTCTTCTTACAGATCAGTAACTAGTAAAAGAGCAGAAAGCAGAGAATAGGAATCAGTAGCTTAGCATGACATGCAAACTTTCTGAGTTCCCACAATGGACAGTTTTGCATAACAAGCTAAACCACTCTGTATATGGTGTATTTTTGGGCCCACGTTAGCTTGTTCTCTTGCTTTTTCCCTCTCAGATCTCCAGGGGTTATCTCAGTATCCTTCATGGCAGAACTCATCTTGTTTCTCTTTCCTCATTTCAATCACTGTCCCTTTTTGTTCATGACTACTTAAAAATATATATTTCACAGCCTCAAAAATGCACAGTTGAGATCATTAAAAAAATGGTCCCAGATAGTTGAATAGTTGTGGTGGGGGATTGGGGGGACTGCCATATTGTGCAAACCAGGTCAGTGAAGGGGATGTAAGTGGAGTTCCCCAATAATCTGTATTAGGCTGCAGTAGGAAGACTTGAAAAAACTAAGCCTGAATGAGTTAAGGGGGGGAACCTCCCCCAATAACCCCTCCCCTCAAAAAAAAAAACAAAAAAAACTTGGAAAAAAAGCTTTCTGAGTTAATTATGGGGAAATACTTATCTCTTTTACTCACCTGCCCCGAGGACTGTTGTGAGAACAAATGTTGCAGAAGCACTTTGTATTAGTGACATTTTACAGAAATGATTAATAATGCTGTAGAAAAACCAACCTTCATTACTCATTTTAATATAATTTACCCATAAGGAAAATGACCATTGTACCTGTATTCATTAATCAGGTTGTTCAGTTTCAAAAATACATGGTTGCAATGAAAATAACAAGTGTTTATTGAAATATTCTTTCAATTTAAAGACCTCACGTAGCATAGTAGAACATTCAAGATCATTAACGTCTAGCTCATTAGAACTGAATTCTTTATTTCAACATTAGTTTTGTTGAATAGATAATAGATTCAATGGAATGTTTCAATTAAGGTGCAAGTAGTAGTAGTAAAAACCTTTATAGGAAAAATTATAAATATTGTGTGTAACATAAAACCTTAGTCTAAAACATAGAGGCTTAAACCAACTGTCTTCTCTGAAGAACAGGGAGAACATAGCTCTCTTCTCTGGACTTCATAATCCAGTTCAAATAAGCTGCTACTCTCTCCAGAATCTCAGGCATCTCAGCAGATAAGATAGACTGTACTTTATCCATATCCAACCAACTATGCATCCTTCCTAGAATTGGACCTAGGTATTTCTTAAGAAGATCTCAGTGTAGGGAGCAGCAGAACAGCATGTGCTTGAGTGTTTCAACACTGCCCATCTCACAGGAGCATCACCTTATACCATAAAACAATGCTGAGGGCATGACATTACACCTAGTGAGTGGAAACACTCTGTGCTCCTGCGGATATTTTAGGTGATAAAAGAAGGTGCATTCTGTATAGTTCTGTGAATCATGTGCTTCAAACCAATGAGCATCCAAGAGAGAAGTGCAGGATCATCCACATACAGAAGCAATGAAACACATCTAGTACTAAGTCTAGCACAATGGCCATGAAATCCCTTTAGATGTGGAGCTAGATCATTTAGAACAGGCTTGGACAGAATACTCTCCTATTTGCTGAGATCTGTTCAGTTATTTCTCTACTCCAGGAAGATTGAATTTGACAGGACATATTTGAGTACAATATTCTGATTAGGAAGAAGTCTTCTGTCCATATCTAGATTGTGGAGTTTCTTCTATAATATCTCCCTGTCAACTGAGTTAAAAGCTCCATTTAGATCTATAAAGGCTACATAAACTTTGAATTTGCTTCCTTCACCTGTTTGTTATAATAAGATGTGACACACTTACGCAGTTATCAAGAGTAGACCTGCCCTGCTGCAAACCTCCTTGTTCTGGACCAAGAATTGCCTGGCTTGTATTCCATAGAAGATTAAGATGAAAGATACATGCATTTAATTCTCCCTTAAACATGTAACCCAAGGATGATTGAGTCTTATTAATTTGCATCTTGTGAAGTTGCTTATACTAAACAGAATGCTAATATTCTGGCTTTGATATTTAACCATTTTCATTTACAGCATAAGAACCTAAGTATAATGTTCATAAGGGGAAAGAACTTTAATTTATTTTTTATCCTTAGATGCATGTCTGCAGCAATCAGGAATTCTGGAATTTGTCCTGAAGATGTAACATATATTAACGCTCATGCCACCTCCACTCCTCTAGGAGATGCCGCGGAGAATGAAGCTATTAAAAGACTGTTTAAAGAACATGCATATTCTCTTGCCATTTCTTCAACAAAGGGAGCAACAGGTCATCTCTTGGGTGCTGCAGGAGCTATTGAGGCAGCTTTTACTGCTTTGGCTTGCTACCATGGAATGCTACCACCTACTCTAAATCTGGATCAGGCAGAGCCACCATTTGACCTCAACTATGTTCCCCTAGTATCACAAGAATGGAGAACTGAAAAACGCCGTATTGCTCTCAGTAACTCTTTTGGCTTTGGTGGAACTAATGCAACACTGTGTTTTGCTAATATTTAGTTTCACAACCTATATGCAAATACTCTAAGATGACCTGTTAATGAACAGAACAACGTATATCAGTGCAGTCTTGTATCTATTTTTAATTCATTCACATGAGAGTTCCTGATTTTTGCAAGTGGGTTACAAAAGTGGTGGGCATGTTGTAGTTTCTGATTTATTCAAGATGCTGAATATCCAGATGCACTGGCTTAATGTTTTACTCTGCAGACCCATTTGCCTATGAACACATTGAGTCTGACCTACAGAACTAACCTTTAGTATAACAGAACGTTTTGTATACTTTTTTTGGTACTCTACATTAGGCAAACCTACATCTGTGTTTCTTAAAGTAGCACAGTTGTTATGCCAATTGCCCAAGCAAGCTTAGCTGAAGAAGTACATGCATTCTTCTCTTTCAGAATGACTGCCTAGCAGGTGCAGCCATTTCTTCTTGCTGTTCTCTTCTCGCATCCATAGGTATTGTGAATTGGGTTCAGCTAAAGAGGGATAGACACCTATAATTCTTGACTTCCTTCTTGCTCTGTTCTGGCTTTTGGCTCCTTCCAGCATGGTTGCCCTCAAAACCGTGGATGCAGTCTGTGCTTGCTTCTCAAAACAAGCAAAGGCTTCTGAGCAACTGAAATTGTGCTTTTACTTTCAAAGTATCATTGTCTAGCCCATTCCCAGCCTATGTAATTCAACAGATTGTTGCATGAAATGTATTCACCACTCTAATGTTGACAGCAATGGTAAAACAACAATAAAGGTATTGTTTAAAATTTGAGCTGCAAACTGCTGTAGCAGGAGCATGTGTTAGTAGAATGGCTAATAATTTATTTTGGCCATTTTGAGTTAGTGTGCCTCAACTACAACTGATGTTTACCTTAAAGCTGTGTTAAAAGAAGTAAAGGTAAATCATATGCATTTGCAGAAAACCCACCCTCATTTAAAGAAGCATAAATATTCCATGAAACTTATAATTAAAATTTTCAATTGAAAGATATCCACTGATCCCATATTTCCTCTTCTCCAATAGTTTATCAAATGTTTGTGGCAGTCCAATGAAAATTTTAGTGTTTCCAGTCAAATAATGTATCTGTGATTAAACAGTAGCTCAGCTTTTGTAATAATGTGTTGTTGTCTGGAATCAAAACCCTCAACCGTTCTTTCTATTGACTAAAAGGCATGAAAGTGTGGGAAGTGGATTTTAAATGCTCATACAAACAGCTGCTTCCTGAGTCAGGAGGGTTCTTGTCAGAACAGTGTCATTATATATTGTGATCATTAGGTAGCACTGTACTTACTTGTATCCATGTGGAGCCACAAGTTTACTGTTGTTCTGCCTGTAAGAGAGACAATAAAGTTCTCATCAAGTTTCCAGATTGGTGTGTCCTGTAAGCTTTCAGTGACAGTTTCTGTACAAGGGCAAGGTCATCCCCATTCCTCACTCCCATATACACAATGCATTATGTTGTATGAACCATTGTAGTATTTCAGCATGGTATGATTGGTTTTGAAAAACCATGAGCAGAAACAACAGTCTGTTCCATAGTTTCTCAGTACCATGATTGCTTGTTGTGTTGACACAACTTGCCCTGGTACTGAGGTCAGACCCATGAAACTACTGGGCAAAGGTAGACTGTTACCACTAAGAGCTGCCATTTTGCCCAACTGTCACAGGTGTCCCCAGTCCTCCTTCCTCCTGCCATAAAGATCATCTCTGGGGAAGGAGCTGGTGCTCAGCTAGTTGGCAGCAGCAGAAGAGCAGCACCGTTCAATTGATTTATCCCAGTTCCGCTCCCATGTGGGTGGGAGTGGTGAGAATCCAGGTGCCAGTCTGGGAACACCTCTGGCAAGCTGGAGCAAGAAAGTGGGGTGGTGGGGAAATCAGCTGCGGCATGCAGGCTCCAACTGAGCTGCTTCTCAACCCTGCTGCTCATGTACAAGGGGCTTCCCTCTGGAAAGCACAAGAGGCATCTTTTAATTACTTTTTATGGTAAGTAAAATACGTATTTCTTCAATGCTCCTTGGTAGACAAATACGTATTTCTTCAATGTTCCTTGGCAGACAAGACTTTAACATGGTAAGTTATAGGATTTTTAAATAGAAATTGGGAAGAGATTTATAAACAACAGCACCAAGATAAAACGTATATTGTGTTGGGGAAATCCAAATAAATCTTTATATAGAGAAAGGCTTACATGATCTGAAAAGAAACCAGAGTATAGGAATTGCCTTTGTGATATGAAACCAAACCTGCAGTGTGCCTGTTCCTCTTGCCCAGAAAGAACCAGAATTCTCAGCCAATCTCCTTGTTCCCTGAAGCTTTATTATTTAGTTGTCCCTTCAAGAGACTGAGACTCTCTGCTTTCTTGAGGTGACTGCTACATTTAATTGCAAAGTTAAACTTGTTACATTATTTGCTTCCACATTTCACTGCATTTAGGCTTTTATTCTGTCAATCTGCTGGGCTGTAGCAAACAGCCCTGACTAGTTCTCTTGCATGTCAAAACCCACCACCCAGGCCTGTTATGATTCATGTGCCTTACTGATTATCATGTCACTATTCTGTAATCACCGCTGTTGGTGTACTATTGTGTCACGTCCCCTCTGAAGCTTTCTCATATTGTTTTGAATGCCCTCATCAACTGCTCCATTCCTGTGTACCTGACTAGAAACCTGTAAAAAAAAAAAACAACTCCGTATTTGTTCTGGAAACTTGTAGTTTGGAGGAAAACCCCTACCCAACAGCACTGTTTGTGAAGATTTGTCTCTGCAGAGCGGTTTCCTGGGTATTCCAACCAATAAAATATACATGTCTCCCTGTGGATCTAAGCATACATTCTTGCAGGCTGCTAAACCGGGATTCCCTGACAACTGCTACAATCAAAGATACACTTATCTCTGTCCATATATAATTCTTAACAATTAATGCACAGTAAAAGAACAATTAGCACCTTGAAATACAGAAGCAGGAAAAACTATCCCAGTGGCCTTTAGTTCGAAGCACCTTCCTTCTTCTTCCAGAGTGGTCTGGGACAGGTCAGCTCGAAGAATTATGACCACAAGGAAAAGAAAGAAAAAAGTAAAATATAACAATGTGGAGGTGGCAGTGGGTTTTCAGCTGCATTCCTCCTCCTCCTGGTCTTACTGATTTATTACAAAGCAAAACAATATAGCAATATATCTGCATTAACTGTGTACGTAACAACACACATTGCTTATTTGCTCTAAATGAGAATCCGGTTCATCTTTGCTGATAAGTGGGTGACGCTGAAGTATGTACTATATGCAAACAACAATCTTTGAGGAATCTTTTCTTCTTTTTTCAACCAGAAAGTCTAAAGATAAATTTATTAAAGGCTCTGTGCCAGATCAGTTCAAGTTAGCTTGTAACAACTTTCCTCCGGCAAGCCGGATGGGCAGCAAAGGGGAATCAACTGAGGTATGCGATGGTTAAGCAAGTACTGCCACCCCACTGACTCTCACCCTGCCCAGTAGCGCGTGCCAGGGGCTTCCTTCTGGCTAGCAAGAAGGGTCTCTGCTGAGGCCTGCAGCTCCCATCCAGGCACCTCCCAACCCAGCTGCTTCTTGTCTCTGCTGCTCATGCTCATGATACCCAGATAAGCATGTATAAGCTGCTTAGAGAATCCATCTGGATTAGTGGGCAGCATACAAATTCAAAAACAAACAAACAAACAGCTATCAAAAAGTTTTGTTCTGCCTCCTTCCCTTCAAATACACTATGCCAATTTTGGCATAATAATTTCTGGTAAGCAAGGCAGTCAACATCATTCCAACTTTTCTGAAAACAGTGGTTCAATATATCTTAAAATAAAACAACGAAGAGTAAAGAAACATGTCAGTGTCTATTGGTTGGAAACTTGTAGTTGGTGGGCATACCCCAGCAGCACTGTTTGTGAAGATTTGTCCCACATCCAGTTTGAGTGGGATGCAAAAGAACGTGATTAAGACAAATAATATGCAGGGGCCAGGATCCAAGAACCGCATGGATTAACATGAGCCTTTTATGTCTCACTTCATCCTACCTGGGGCGCACTTTCCCTTAACCTTCAGGATCAACTTTTGAAAAGTGCAAGGGATTGCAGTGGGTATGGTCCTGGAAAAGCTCAACTGCACATATGAATCTTTATGTATGGCCATTTGGATGGGATCAGGAATACCATTAGTTCTATGAAAACTAATGCAACAAGATATTTCTGAACAACTGTGCATCTGGGACCTGCCCTGAGTAAAATAAAACAGTAACAAAGAGGCATTGAATAGACACATAAAACAGCTGTTTACCACATGATCTGAAGACACTACAGTAGCTAAGAAGATGTTCATTTAATGCACATTTTATGAGTGCTTAAAAGCTCTTTAAAGAGGATTTGATGTTAAGCAGCTGAGCATTCCAGAATTCATTACTCTTATTGTATAGCTTGTGTGTTTGTGATTGTGCACGTGAGCACATGTGTGAAATCATTTGGATCTCAAATGTCAGTCAATGGGGAAAAACACTTATTGTTAATCATCAATAGTAGGCAATACTCTTTATTCAAGGCTTCGGCGAATGGGGCGGCATAAAAATGTTTAAATTAAATAAATAAATAAATAAATAAATAAATAAATAAATAAATAAATAAAATAAGTGATATTACCAACCATTAATACCAGTAGGCAGATAAAGTTTCTTCTATGCATTTCATGTGTTGGTGGTTTTCCAGTATTTCTAATCTTTTTGGAAATGTGAATGTTTCCAGACAGATGACTCTAAACTTCACCGGTCAGAAGGTATCATGCAACCATTCCATCTTAGCTTTCTTAACAGATTTTCTGTAGTAACATAAAAGATGGAAGGAGCTACTGAAAAAATGGGATCTCCTGTAAAATACTGTGAAAGGTGATGATCCAATAAAATTTTCATTTGCAAAGACCTTATGTCTCGAAAGTTAAGTTGTACAGAATCTGAGCAGAATACCTTATTTTAAAGAAGCAACCTTTCAGAACAATTCAGATTCCCTCTCCTTCCAATTATCCAGAAGCAAGATGATTTTTCCCCTTCCCTTTCTTTTGCAGAACCAGAGGCTGATTTTCAGACAGCAGATACTTTGCATATGTGGGTTTGGTTGGCCACTGCAAACAGAATGCTACACTAGACTGAGCTTAGTACAGCTGTTCTCTTATTATGTTCTCCAGTCCACTTTCAAGATAAAAGAATATTCTAATGAGAAAAACTGGATTTTAAAATTTCCCATCAACAGCACTTGCACTGCACACTGAGTAAGTCACACAGGTCACCTGGTTACTTGTCTGTCACACTGTATTAAGTTGTACTGTATCTTAATTTACAGTATTTGTTGTTAGTCGCGAAGTCGTGTCCGACCCATTGCGGCCCCATGGTCAACATTCCTCCAGGTCTTCCTGTCCTCCACCATCCCCCGGAGTCCACTCAAGCTCACACCAACTGCTTCAGTGACTCCATCTAGCCACCTCATCCTTGCCAACCCCTTCTTCTTTTGCCATCTATTGTTCTCCAGGGAGGCCTTCCTTCTCATTAGGTGGCCAAAGTATTTGAGTTTCATCTTCACTATCTGGCCTTCTAAAGAGCCAGGGTTGATCTCCTCTAGGACTGACCAGTTTGATCGCCTTGTGGTCCAAGGGACTCGCAGGAGTCTCCTCCAGCACCACAATTCAAAGGCCTCAATCCTTTGGTGCTCAGCCTTCCTTATCGTCCAGCTTTCACAGCCATACATTGCAATTGGGAAAACCATAGCCTTGACTATACACACTTTTGTTGGCAGGGTGATGTTTCTGTGTTTTAGTATGCTGTCTAGATTTGCTATAGCTTTCCTCCCAAGAAGCAAGCGTCTTTTAATTTCTTGGCTGCAGTCCCCATCTGCGTTGATCTTGGAGCCCAGGAAAATAAAATCTGTCACTACCTCCATTTCTTCCCAATCTATTTGCCAGAAAGTGAGAGGACCGGACGGCATGATCTTAGTTTTCTTAATGTTGAGCATCAGGCCAACTTTTGCGCTCTCCTCCTTCACCCGCATCAAGAGGCTCTTTAGTTCCTCCTCACTTTCTGCCATTAGAGTGGTATCATCTGCATATCTGAGGTTGTTATTTCTTCCAGCAATCTTAATTCCAACTGGTGATTCATCTAGCCCCACCTTTCTCATGATGTGCTCTGCATATAAGTTAAATAGGCAGGGGGGTATATAGCCTTGCCAAACTCCATTCTCAATTTTGAACCAATCAGTGGTTCCATGCCCACCTATAGGTTTCTCAAGTGACAAATAAGATGGTCTGGTATTCCCATCTCTTTAAGAACTTGCCACAATTGTTTTTTATCCACACAATCAAAGGCTTTAGCATA